AGGTTCAATATTCTGAGCAGAGGAACACTTCCAGATCTGGATTCTGTTTTGGGGGAGTTATTAAGGGAAGATACTAGGCTTCTCACTGCAGCTAGATTTGATGGAAAGATGATTGAAATTAGGGCTGAAACAGATTTTGTTGCTCGTGGAGGTAAGAAGTCAACCTCCAAGGACTTCTCCAAAACCCAGTGTTATGAGTGTAAGGGTTTTGGACATATTGCCTCTCACTATAAGAAGAATGTGTGCACCTATTGCAAGCAACATGGTCACATTATTCTAGATTGTCCAGTTCGACCAACTAAGGATTCTTAGAAAAAGACTCAACCTTGGGCCTATCAAGTAACAGATGGGCATGCAACTAACATTGCGTCCACTAAGGGCCTATTGGCTTGTTTAGTAAGTTCTCTGGATATTATTCTTCTCCTTCACATGCTTGAATTATAGATTCAAGTGCCACCAATCATATGACAAGAGCTTATCTCAATCAACCAAATCCATCTACTAAAACTCACCATAAACTCATTGTTACTGCCAATGGTGAAAAGTTAGACATTATTGCTAGTAATGACTTATCACTTAAATTGTAATCCACTATGTCCTTCCTTCTTTCAAAAACCCTCTTAGTGCCCAACCTTACTACTAATCTGATTTTTGTTGGCCAACTTGTTGATGAAGGAAATGTTCTTACCTTTTCTCATGATGGTTGCTTGATATAGGACCGGTACACTGGGAAGGTGAAAGGGAAGGGGTGTAGGTTGGGCTATTTGTTAGCATTGGAGTTCGAGAAGTCTCAATTAGGAGCATCCTCGACTTATCTTAGTTTACCTATATCTGATTCTCTGTTGAGTCATAGAAATAATGTTTGGGATTTATGGCACAAACGATTAGGTCATCCATATTCTCAAAAATTGAAGTTTTTGTTTGGTTTTGGTTTAATTAAGAATAAAATTCCTCCTATTCATACTTTTGATCTTTCTTGCACTGCTTGTTGCTTGAGTAAAAGTTATGTTTTACCTTTTCTTCACACTTCTAAGAATGCCACTGCACCTTTTGAGATAATACATAATGATGTTTGGTCTGCTTCTATTACTTCACGATTGGGACACAAATACTTTGTATTGTTTATAGATGATTGTACTAGATACACTTGGATTTATTTTCTACGACACAAATCAGAGGTCTTTGCGACATTTAAATTATTCATACTATGGTGCCAACTCGCTTTAAGTGTAATGTGAGTATCCTCCGTTCAGATTCAGGGGGAGAATATAGAGGCATAGACTTTTAGGTCTACTTGAGGAGTTATGGAATTCAATCTCTGCGCAGCTGTCCAGACATTCCTCAATAGAATGGTGTAGCTAAACGAAAGAATGGACACATCCTTAGTGTTGTGCAGACATTACTATAGGAATCTCACGCTCCGACTTCGTTTTGTGTAGGAGCAGCTAGTACAGATGTGTATTTGATCAACTATCTTCCTTCTTTTGTTCTTGGCAACACTTATCCCTTCCAAAAACTTGTTTGTCGTCCCCCAGACTTCTCCACTCTTCATGTTTTTGGTTGTCTTTGTTTTGTACATCTTCCTATTTGTAAACGTTCTAAATTAACTACTCAGTTTGCTATGTGTGCCTTTGCAGGATATAGTCCTGACCACAAAGGATTCTTGTGTTGTGATCCTGCTATTCGTTGTATTCGGATTTCACGGAATGTTGTGTTTCTTGAACATATTTCCTTCTTTGTTGGAATTGTTAGATTGTCTACTCCTATCTCTGTTTTGTAGGACTTTGATTCATATAATACTCATACTTCCTCTACTGAGAAAGATCTTCTCATCTTCACTCGCAAGCGACCATGTGTCCCAGATCCTGTGCCTACAACCCCCTTTCCACCCAGTCTAGAGCATCCTCCTCTTGGACCTCTTGTAAGTGACATTTCCCTCTAAGATCCTTCTGTTTTAGATGGTAGTTCTCCTATTCCTCTTCATTGTTCTACTCGTATTTCTCAACCTCCTGATCGCTATGGTTTTCCTTAAAGCCATATCTCATTTTCTACTGTACTTTCTTTTGCAAATATTCCTAGTTCTTATTAGCAAACCATTAGAAGTCCTCATTGGAAAGAATCCATGGATGCTAAGATTCAAGCCCTCCATGAGAATGATACTTGGGATCTTGTGCCTGTTCCTCCAAATGCTTCTATTATTGGGAGTCGTTGGGTCTACACGATCAAACTAAAATCAGATGGTTCCCTTGATAGATATAAGGCTCGACTAGTTGCCCAAGGATACAATCAGGAATATGGGATTGATTATGAAGAAACTTTTCCCCTGTTGCTAAGATCACCACACTTCGTGTTCTTCTAGCCTTATCTGTTGTTCATTCCTAGACTATCTACCAATTAAACATGAAGAATGCTTTTCTTCATGGTCAATTGAAGGAGACAGTCTACATGAAGCCTCCACCTGGATATTGCAGTGACTCTTCACGTGTCTGTCGCCTAAAGAAATCCCTATATGGTTTGAAGCAGCACCTCGGGCTTGGTTTGAGAGTTTTCGAGATGTTATTGTTGCAGTTGGGTATAGATAGATTTCCTCTGATTACTCTCTCTTCATTCCTAGACTATCTACCAATTAAATGTGAAGAATGCTTTTCTTCATGGTCAATTAAAGGAGACAGTCTACATGAAGCCTCCACCTGGATATTGCAGTGATTCTTCATGTGTCCGTCGCCTAAAGAAATCCCTATATGGTCTGAAGCAGCACCTCGGGCTTGGTTTGAGAGTTTTCGAGATGTTATTGTTGCAGTTGGGTATAGCTAGAGTTCCTCTGATTACTCTCTCTTTGTTAGGAGAAGGCCTAGGGTATTACTTTTCTATTGCTGTATGTTGATGACATGCTTTTAACTAGGATGATTATGATGGCATTTGTGAGTTGAAGTCCTTACTTCATAACTCCTTTCACATGAAGGACTTGGGCCCTCTTACTTATTTCTTGGGTTTAGAAGTCCATGTAATAGTCGGGGGTATTTCATTTGTTAGCAGAAATATGCCTTTGATCTCGTCAAACTAGCTGGAATTACTGATGAGAAACACGTTGGTACCCCTCTGGAGCTGAACGTCAAGTTGTCTAAATCTGAAGACCTAGTTCTTCCTGATGCTACTTTGTATCGTTAGCTTGTTGGATCTTTGATCTATCTCACTATGACTCGGCCTGATATTTCACATGTTGTTCAGGTTGTTAGTCAGTTTGTTTTTGCCCCTCGTCAACCTCATATGATTGTTGTTTGTCGCATCATCTGTTATGCTAGAGACACAACTTCTCAGGGACTGTTTTTCTCCTCCTCATGTTGTAAGAGGAGGACTGTTTTTCTCCTCCTCTGTTGCATCATCTGTTTGCTTCTTTCCTTTGGTCACCCAAATGTTGTAAGAGCAAAAAGGCTTGTAGTGTTTATCAGAAGATCCTGCCTGCATCCATCCCATATTTGTGCAACAAAATGGCAAGTTATTATCAATTTCCACTGTTGGTTTTGCATAAGACACACCAAGATGGGGATAAACATCAATTGGGTCTTCTTTTTTGAAGAAAAATGGTAGGGATTACACCAAACGTCTTTAATGGGAGAATAGGATTACACCAAACTTCTTTAATGAGAGAGAAGGTGAGGGAAGCTGAAATATGGTTTGGGAGAAGGAAGTACAAGAAAAAGAACTAGAGTAGAGGATGAAGGAGTCCAAATCCGACCATCCTGTCTAGTAGGATTGAGGAACACTTATTCAAGAAGATGGAGAAAACTAAGAACATAAGGAAGCTCAATGTCCTTTTTGCCTTTCCAAAAGCCCAAATTGCAGTCAAAACCTAAATTAGAAGAGGAGGGTGTTGCAAATTTGGTGACACCCTCCTCTTAGATCTCCATGAGACGAGCATAGTTTTCAAGGTGCCAAGGCGAGGCTAGGCGACTGGGGGTCGCCTAGTTGCCTAGACGGGTGCCTAGGCGTCGCCTAGACGATGGATTTTTTATGTTAAAAACATAGATCCTAGGGTAGTTCCCTAGGTACCATAACCATATTTCTTTAATAATTATTCATGATTTTCATAAGAAAAGTATAAATTTTATATTAAAGTATAGAAAATCAACATATTCATGAGAAGAAAAGGAAGAAGGAAAATAGAATTAAAAAAATATAGGGGCTGAACCCTTATTTTTGTTATAGGAAAAGAAGAAAATAAAAAGTATTGGTAGTAGTAGTAGTCGTAGTAGAAGAAGAATATATGGAAGAGGAAAATGTGCTGATTAGATAAAATTTTTTGTTCTTCCTTATTGGTTCAGGTTTTTAAGTCTTTGAGGATTCAATACAGCATTTAGCAATGTTTGTGTTGATTAAACCCTAATTAATAAGAAAATAATAAAAAGAAATTAGTATATAAACACACAATGATTATTTTAGTTTAATAATGTTTATTTTATAATTATAATCTCAAAAAAGAGTGAATAAAAAAGTATTTTATAGTAGGAAGTAGAAAACTGTTAGGCGATTAGGTGAGGCGAGCCTCAAAGGGCGCCTTGTTGCCTAGGCGTTGCCTTGACAACTATGCAGACGAGGTTGCCTGCATTTGTGAATGCCTCTAAATTGAGGTGGCCTTGATCAAACCCCTTTCTTTTGATTACTGTGTCTGACTTCCTTGATTGATATCAGTTCTCTGATACGAAGTTGCTGATATTGGAAAGATAAAGAAAATGGAAAAACATTAAACAGTAGATGAAAAATGAAGAAGAGAAGAAGAAAAACTGAGTTTGTGTAGTAATGTTATCTTGGGATGTGTGTCCCACTTCATAACTTAAATATCAGAGATTCATATATACATGAAATGACCAAAATACCTCTTCATGAGTTCATTCTTACTCCATTCTCAACAAATATGTATTTCTTAGTTTTCATTTTCATTATTCCACATGTATAATAGGACTGCCATATGCTCTGTTAGTTTATTTAAGAAACTTTTTCAGGTTTGCAGTTGCATTTTATGGCAGTTCAAGTCATCCTCAAATGGTTGCCCTTATTGCACAGGTAATGTTTTGTTTTGAATGCCATTAAGTTGTACGCTTAGTGACTTGTTATGATGATATGCATCTTCTCTGGATAAACATTTTGATAAGTGAAAGTTTGTTTTCAGTGTGCTGGCATCTGAAGATGTCATTTGATATACTGTCATGTTATATTGGTATAGCAATATGGTAACCACCAATGTACTAGCATTGTTGGTTTAAATTTGAAGTTAATGCGTAGAACTGACATATCGTGGCTTCTTGCCTCAATTAAAGTAGAGTGGGACAATAGTTTACAGATCCCATGAATCTTGTATATTTGTCCCTTGGTGTCAAAAGAATTAGATTCATATCAGGGTTTTTAATGCAGATTGCTTGTTATTTCTTTGTGCTTCTCACATTATCTTGTTAAAGTTTTATATCTCGCTGTCTGTTAACTGATCATTCAATTATTTCGTTTCTGTTGGGATATCAGTTTACAGTAGTGTTTTTTATTTATTTAATGATGTTATAGATACTGCTTAGTCCTTTTCTTTTGTTGCTGATATAGTAATTTCTTATATTTGGGCAGCCAGGGATACATTTGGCATTGTACATATATTCATTCTTTTTTATAAATAGATGTATTTAGAGCAAAAAATAGAATGTGGTGGCTAGATTGTGTCAAAACTGAATTTAGATCTATGGATAATAGTATTTCAGAATTGATATGGCTGAATTGTTGATAAAAGACCTGGACATTATCATAAATGAACCAATGAGACTATACTGTGATATAGCAAGGTTGCCATTATCATTGCTTACAATCCTGTCCAACATGATCATACTATACATGTGAAGGTAGATTGACACTTAATTAGGGAGATGGACTTGAACGAAATCTTTCTTCCATATGTTAAGACTGAGGACCAGCTAGCTGATTTTCAAAGTGTGTGAATGTGTGATCATGAAGAGGATGGATCATGTTTTCAATAACTTGAGCATGATAGATGTCTATGCTGCACTTGAGGAGTGTAGACTGTAGAGATGTGTAGAGAGTTGAGAGTCTTATATTTGTCTTTTTCTATTTTTAATCAGGAGTAGTAGTTTTCTCTTTATTTAAGATAAAGTTTAAATAACAATTAACAAGTACATGGGCTGATCAAGGCTAACTCATTCATTCTCACAAACAGATTTCTCTCTTCTCTCTTCCTCTATTACTTCTATTTCTCTTTCTTTCTTGTCACATACAAGACTCAAATCGAGAGTGATTGTTTCTTGGTTTTTGTCTATTCGTGTGTATATATTTATGTAATAACCATGTACAAATTTCTAGTTTTGGGGGCTTGCCATGTCCAACACCTCATGACTGTTGAAATGTCTTTTGTATCCATGTCCACAGATCGTAGATTCTAATTGATAGTTAATGTCAAACATTTAAGTGTTCCCTTTTAAAGTTCATGTTAACTTTCTGTTGAAATTTGCTGATCTTAATTAATTGCATAGGATGAGATATCTAATTCAAGTGGTCAAGTTGAGCCACCTGGAATGCACATGATATATCTTCCGTATTCTGATGACATCAGGAAGATTGAAGAGGTAAGAGAAATTATTTTGGGTAGTGTTAATTTCTTACTGATGTTGAGCTTTGCTTATGAAATTCACAATTATACGCAGGTTCATATGAATGTGGATTCTGTGGCACCTCGAGCAACAGATGATCAAATACAAAAAGCTACTGCTCTATTGAAGCGTTTGGATTTGAAAGATTTTTCTGTTTATCAGTTTGCAAATCCTTGTAAGTTAACAAACTCTGTTTCATAACTCTTGCAATACTTAAGCGTAATAACATCAAAATAATTTGTATGAAAATTGAATCTTATTCTTGTGTTAGATGGAATTCCTACATCTAAGTACCATTGGTCATCATTCTGATATTGCTTTCATTTTTAATAACTTGCGGATGACAAAATTAGTGGTAGGTCATACTTAATTATTGTGATCATAAGTTTAAATCATCTGTAAAATGACTTTTTGATCGATGTCCATCTTAAAGCACATGGATATAGATAGTCTATTCTAATATTGGGTTGCCCCATGATTTTTCCCTCTAGTTTACATTGAGATACAAAATACGTTCAACAATAGTTTTCATCTTTTGATGCCAAACCATTCACAAATGCCCTTGGGTTGCTTCCATAATTCCTATGACCTTTGGTCCTACCAAAGTTCATTCTAAAACCCCACTGAAGCTCCATTAATAAATTCTATTTTGTACGTAGTTTTTGAATTTCTATTTTCTTTTTATTGTCCCATAGAGAATTTTCAGTTCCCAGTAATTTAGCTCAAATCCTTTGACCCTTATTGATTATTTTCTTTAATCTTAAAATCATCTCTAAACCCTTCTTAGTCAATTCTTACCCTCCTAGTCATTTATGGGTTAACTTAATGCCTTAATGGTGCCTTCGTTATTATAGCAAATTTATCCTACATCAATTGGTATCAGAGCAGTTTTCCCCAATGTTTTCAACCCATTACTGACTCAGCTAGGACTTGTCAACCTCTCACCTGGCTAGGATTCTAGATCTTTTTTACCCCAAACTCAGTAATTTAAAAAAAAAAAAAACTGTTGAATTTGGTCAAAACCCATTGACCCAAACAATTAAACCAGTGAACCATTCAAACTGTTCCCAGGTCACAGTTCAAATGAGTGAATGAATATTAAACTAAAATACTAAGTTACAATATAATAATAAGGTTGAAACCAAGAAGATGGAGAGCAGGTTTGTGAAGGTAGCACGGTGGAAGAGAGTATTGAAGGTTGAAGCCAAAGATTTTTGTTCAATGAACTGACAATCAAAGGGCAGTTGAGCTTGAAGATTAGGGAAGTAAGGTGGCTATGATGTTGATGGTAGGGATAGAAGTGGTTGAATGGCCTAGGGAGTAGGGACTTTGTGATTGCAGCAGGTTCTAATGGTAAGCAAGAAAATTGGAAGAAGAGTAGAATAGAAGCAGAAAGAAGGTATGTGGCAGAGGGCAGGAAGCAGATAGTGTGTTTTCCTGGAGGGAGAAAGGGTTAAGTATGACAGGAAATTGCTAGAATGTTGAGTGAGTTTCTGACTTGCCTGGTTAAAGCACAAATAGAGACCTCATAAGGGGTAGAGGAGACTGTCAATGAGACTGGCAAAGGTGATGTCCCTCTGCAGGAATTGTTGACAATGATGAACAATAAATGAAATTGTATATGGTTGCAAGAAGGAACAATGTATCTGATAGAGTTGCTGGTTGTGTTACAGCAGAAGAGCTGGTTCGAGGGAGCTCACCCTCCTGAAATGGACGAGAGAGAGAGAGAAGGAGAAGAGGAAGAGAGACGAGAGAGACGAGAGAGACTAAGGATTATTTCATTCATGCCCACTCAATTGATTGCTACAGATATTTATAACTGCAGATCGTGGCTTGTGACAACCCAATCATGACCTATAACAACCCAACAAACTCTGCTCAAATCTCTGGATGTGGACGGCGCGTGTAAACAAACCTCAGAGGAGGTGCTGCGCGCCTGAGCCGTGGGGTGTGCTGATTTGGGCCCAAAGTGTCCTGGGCCTTGCTCCCCATAACTGGGCCTGCTTCTGGGCCGGTCCTAACATCCCCTTCCCCATCAAGAATGACCTTGTCCTCAAGGTGGGTGGTGGGAAATTGCTTCTGTAGCTGGTCAAAATCTTCCGAAGTAGCATCCTCCTGTGGCAGTCCTTTCCAAACAACCAAGACTTGTTTGTGAACCTTGCTGCCCTTCTTCACCCAGTGGATGTCCTTAATATGCTGTGGTTGAAACACTACTTCTCCAGCCTCCGTGAACGGCAGAAGTGTGGGACTGGTAACATCAGAGGAAGATAGGCAAGGCTTCAGGAGGCTAACATGGAATGTGGGGTGCAGCTGGCACTCTGTAGGAAGGTTGAGACGGTAGGCAACAGCCCCAATGCATTCAACCACCTGAAATGGCCCAAAGTACCAGGGGGATAATTTCTGAGCCGACCTTCTCGCCAGGGACACCTGCCTGTATGGTTGGAGTTTCAAATATACCCAATCCCCGACTGAAAACTCCAATTCCCGGTGCTTCCTCTCATAAGCTATCTTCATACATTGCTGGGCCTGCTGAAGATGGAACTTGAGGGTCTTGAGTATCTGGTCCCTTGCTGAAAGCTGGTTCTCAACTTCAGCAACTGATGATGTCCCCTTTTCATATGGTAGGATAGATGGAGGGTCACACCCATAGAGTACTTTGAAAGGAGTGGTTCCTGCCAATACTTGGAATGTGGTGTTATACCAGAACTCGGCCATTGAGCCCACTGCTTGGTCTCATCTCCCACAAAACACCACAAATAGGTTTCCAAATATTGGTTGACTACCTCCGACTGCCCGTCCGTCTGTGGATGATAACTGGTCGAGTGAAGTAAGTGCACCCCTTGAGCGGTGAAGTAAACTTGCCAAAAGGAACTCATAAAGATGGGATCCTGGTCTATCAAGATGGAGAGGGGAGTCCCGTGGAGTCTGGCCACCTCCCGAATGTAAGCTTGAGCTACAGTGGATGCTGAATAAGGTTTGGAGAGGGAAATGAAGTGTGTGTATTTACTCAACTTGTCTACAACCACCAGCACCACTGACTTCCCTTGAGAGGTGAGAAGTCCGGTTATGAAGTCCATAGCGACTTCTTCCCAAACTCTTTCTGGTATGGGTTGGGGCTGCAACAATCCTGCCGGTGCCTGCGTGTTATACTTTTGCTGTTGGCAAGTAGCACATCTTGCTACATACTCCTGCACCATGCGCTTCATGCCCTTCCAATAATAGTGCGAGCCCAAACATTTATAGGTACGAAGAGCCCCTGAATGTCCCCCCTGGGCTGAGTCATGAAAGAGTCGCAGTAGCTCCTGGTGATGGTTGGATCTGTTAGAAATCACCATTCTCCCTCTGTAAAGGAAAACATTGCCCTTCACAGTGTACCCATCAGTGAGAGCTGGTTCCTTAAGAACTTGGGCCCGAATCTGGGCTAGGTGAGTGTCATCGTGGGCTTCCTGCTTTAACTGGTCCCTCAAGGTATAAGTTGGCCGTGACACCCCAGTGATGTGAAGGTCTTCCACTCGTGAGAGTGCATTAGCGACAGCATTAGAAGGTCTCGGTTTGTACTCAATGCTAAAGTCGTACCCCAATAACTTGTAGGCCCACTTTTGCTGGTCGGGGCCCAGAATTCTCTGTTCCAGCAGGTGTTTGATTCTGCGGTGGTCCGTGTGCACAATGAATCTTCGGCCTAGGAGGTATGCTCTCCACTTCTGAACTGATAGCGCGATAGCCATGAGTTCTTTCTCATACATGGACTTGGCTTGGGCCTGAGGAGAGAGGGCCTTGCAGTAGAAGGCCAATGGTCGGCCCTGTTGCATCAAGATTGCGCCTATCCCTTTGCCCGAGGCATCCACTTCAACCACAAATTCTAATTTGAAATCGGGGAGAGCCAATGTTGGAGGTGTGGTCACAGCCTTCTTGAGTAACCGGAAGGCTTCATCAGCTTTCTGATTCTACTCAAATGCATGCTTCTTTAGTAGGCTAGTAAGTGGTGCCGCCAGGACTCCATAATTTCTAATGAATCGGCGGTAGTACCCAGTAAGCCCAAGGAACCCCCGAAGGGCCCGTGGGGAGTTGGGCCTAGCCCATGCGACCATGCAAGCTATTTTCTCTGGATCTGTATGCACCTGGCCATCGGAGATGATGTGCCCCAAGTAGTTAATCTGGGTCTGCCCAAAGGATAGAAGGCTTCGCAAATAGCTGGTGGCGGCGTAGTAAGCTTAATGTGCACTGCAAATGGTCCAAGTGAGCAGCCCAATTTGGGCTGCAAACAAGTATATCATCAAAGAATACAAGCACAAATACCCGTAGATAAGGCTTAAAAATCTCATTCACGAGTCTTTGAAATGTCGATGGTGCATTAGTTAAACCAAAGGGCATCACTAGGAATTCTAAATGCCCATCCGGGGTCCGGAATGCGGTCTTATGTATGTCATCCGGATGTACTTGGATCTGGTGGTAACCCGATCGCAGATCCAGCTTAGAGAAATATTTGGCCTTACCCAACTCATCAAATAGCTTTTCAATATGAGGGATTGGATACCGATCTTTGACAGTGATATTGTTCAAAGCTCTGTAATCAACACAACCTCCAGCTTCCGTCCTTCTTTTTTACCAAAATGATGGGGGATGAAAATGGGCTGCTACTGGGTCGGATAAAGCCCTTGTCCAGTAACTCCTTAACCATCCTTTCCACCTCCGCCCGCTGGTAATGGGGATAACGGTAGGGTTTGATGTTAGCGGGTGGGGCCCTTGGTTGTATGGGAATCTTATGATCATGGGCTCTTAGGGCGGGAAGGGTAGTGGGCTCCTGGAAGATGTCAACATAGGTTTGGAGCAATAGTTGAAGCTGCTGTGTTTGTTTAGGACTGAGGCTCTTAGTTTCAGAAGAAACAGCCGTTGGCCCAAGTGGCATTGATCCCATACTCGTTAGTAGTGGAGTGGCACCATACTGGCATTGTTTGAATATAGCATCCAAATCTTCTGCTGTTATGGGCTGATTTTTAACCTCTTTCAAGGTATAAGTGCGACCCTCTTGCGAAAATTGCATGGTCAGCTCAGCCCAGTTAGAAACCACAAGGCCCAAAAGCTGCAACCATTGTATTCCTAGGACCACGTCCGCTCCGGAAAATTCTAAGGGGTGCAAGTCTACCCTGAAGGTATACCCTTGAACCTTGAGTTCGA